GAAAATCAGACCTGAAAAAATCAGGCCTTCAAAATATATGAACTTCATATATTTCATTGTATCGGATTTATCACTTCCATGGGTTTATTAGGAATCAACTTAACGGCCTGCTCCCAGTTGGCTGGTTAGCTCAATTGGTAGAGCGCTGCACTAGTATCGCAGAGGTCAGTGGCTGGAATCCCGTACAGGCCTGATTTATTTCAGGTCTGATTTTCGCTATTGCTTAAATAGCCCTATCTACTGCGAGGATCGTGCATCATACGTATCTAATACCGCAGTTTAAAATATATGAACTTCATATATTTCATTGTATCTGACTTATCACTTTCACGGGTGTATTACGAATCAACTTAACGGCCTGCTCCCAGTTGGCTTGTTAGCTCAATTGGTAGAGCGCTGCACTAGTATCGCAGAGGTCAGTGGTTCGAATCCCGTACAGGCCTGATTTTCTCAGGCCTGATTTTCGCTATTGCTTAAATAGCGCTATCTACTGCGAGGATCGTGCATCATACGTAATTTCTTCTCTGATAGGTTGCAGAATACTCTTTTCCTTTTAGACCTGCGCATCATCCATCCTATCATCCATGACAAAATGGATGTAAAGAAAATGTTTGAGAGCTCTTGGTTTACTAATGTGATCAACGGTTCGTAAAATATTTGAAGGCAATGCAAATCATAGGAAGTGGATGATACGCTTATAAAGCTGTACCACAGAAATAAGAGGCCACCTAAACTAATACCAAATATTTTGTCTTCGTGGTTGTCATTGTAACCATCGCCTTTACCCTCGATCGTTTTCAAGACTTCTGCATGCCACAAAAGATCTAGGGAAGTTCCCTTTCCCATCAGATTCTCCTTATTTAGGAAGTTTTTGTTAGTAAACAACTATCAGTATTCTAATTTAATACAGGGAACGGAAATCTTTATCTTTACGCACAGAAAGTGCTTTCATTTCCTCTGTGCAGAGGCAGCTCAGCCAAACAAAGCAAGGAGAAAAGGCGAATTGCATTACTATGCTGGAGATTGCTCGAATCCTGCAACAAGATCACAAATCAAGGAACAGTTTATCAAGATTCTAAACAGTACTGTTCAGATTAACAGGGTTTGCCGGGAGAAGGCGTTTCGTGATAAATGCAAAGCTGAAAATGTGATTGTGACGTGCTCTCTCGTTGACATCAAACCAAATAGGAACAGAAGAGATTCAGGTGTGGTGATAAATCAATTTCATAATTACCTACAGGTTGCGCTTTTTATTTGACCTGCTTCGCCTACTTTGCTTCATTCGCTGAGATAAATCACAATCGACCTTTTCCTTGCCGAGTTAATGGAAAAGGAAAACTAGCTGAATATCGAGTTACATGTAGCTATTATTCGTTTCGTCGTCATCAACTTAATCATGCGTAATCAACAAACTTGTTCTCGCTATCATTATCATAAACTTTATTGTATCATTGTTGTCCCTGTAACTGTAATTTTTGGATTTTACGAGGGTTAAAGTACGAATTTAAAGGGACGACATATCATTATTAAATGGAAATAATTAAACGATTGATGGCGTTGTGAAAAACAAGAAAAAAAAAAAACAACAACAAAACAACAACAACAAAAAAATAAGCTAAAAAAAAATTCGAATAAAAGCAGGGAGAAATTATGATTTAAATCTGTCATCGCCGTTTGCTTTCGCTACGTGATTTCTATCATTAAATTTGATTTTTTGTATTTTCTTTCCATTGCAGCAGTTGATGATACGATTCACAGAAGAGTCCGGCGGGCAGTTCCAGTTACAAAAATAACTTTTGAAATTGCAGGTGAGTATGAAAAGACTTGAAACTGGGCGGTCAATTCATGTCACTATTAAGATGCAAGCATTCGATATTAAGCAGGTGATCAAAAATAACACGTGCACGGGAAGTTCCGTTTAAAGAATGCATTCTAGGGTCTGTACCTTACAAGGTCAAGGGCTGATTTCCAACCAACCTATATTTTCAATTTTAAAAGACATTTATCTTACAAAGGATGCCTCGTTAATTCTAAACTGTATTTATGATGTGTTCGAGTTTTGAGGCCAAAAGTAACTCTCCTACATTCTTGTAGTTTACCTTGGGGACGTTGTCACAGACGATACCAAAGAAAGCAAGATAAAACTAGGAGACAAAGGAGTGCGAATCACGCAAAACATTAGTTCTCAGATCACAGAGGCTTTGGATAAGGAAAGCATTCCTATAACATTAGATGGAAAGAAAATCCTTCCGGATAAAAATTCCTTAAACTTTTCTGAACCCGAAAAGGAGTGCGCCAAAGGACAAACTTTCAGAGATGGATTTTGTCGTAAGTAGCAGTTTTTTTAACGCTCGTTGACTGCCGTTAAGATTATTATATTTGTGCTCTCTAGCTCACTTAGTTCGGTTATTTTAGGAAACTGAATAGTAAGCTGAGAATTTAAGATAAAGTACTTATTTGTATGAAAAAAATAATAGGCACTTTTTTAATTTCACAAACTACAACCGATAGTCCAGCCTCAATGAATTGTTACTAATAGCATTCTTTTTTATACATGAAGAAAATGCATAATTTCTTTTATTGAAAAGTTTGATAGAAATTAATAAAAACTCCGGTCCCATAATGAACCCATTGTTTGAAATAAAGAGGACTGTTGTATGAATCCACAACGTAACAAAGGGAACGTTCTTGTCATTCATGCCTCGTAAACTCCGGGGTAGATGAATTGTTCTATGCAAGAAGCCTAAATTCATAGCCGAAACTTTACATTGAATGTTGGTTTCGGAAAATTCGCTATTAAGTCGTTATTTCTGATCCTTTTTTAAAATTTTTTGTAGTAAACTGTACGTCTGGCACCTATTTAGACAAAGGAAGCGGTACATGCAATGATTGCCCAGCAGGAACCTACCAGGAAAGAGACGCTCAGACAAGGTGCCTCCAATGTCCAAATGGCTCTTCAACAACGGAGTCAAGGACAGACAACAGCTCAAGTTGCCTTGGTAAGGTAACAAAAATGTGAGTGGGTAATAGTTACGGGATGGGGATTTTGCTTTTTTTTCTTTTTAAACAGTACAAAAACTAAAATAAATTGCTTTCGTGCCGAAAACGGCGTTACCGCAATCACAGGGAATTATTTTATACTTTCACGTCAAACCATTTGTGTTTGACTCAAATCACCCGAAACGTACAACTGAAAAACTTAAAACAAAATGGCAATATACAGTGTGATCGGATAACGTCTTCGTGGCATGCATGCATGCATGCATGATCGTTGGGGTTATCTTATGCATCTCTTTCCACTGGTCAAACTTTTAAGACCTTTTGCAAAAGTACCCTCTTAATGTCCAAACTCTGTGGACGTCTTCAAACAATCTGATGTTTATCAATCCAACGATAACCACCCATACAGATCAAGAAAAGTCTTCTTTGCTTTGCTTTAGCCGCATGCATCTCTGCTGTGTTAGTGGCGACTGTTGTTTTAATCTAAAACTAAGGTTTAGAGAATTCATTTGGATGTACAAGATATCTCATCATGAGACAAAGAAGACATTTTATAAGCCGTCCAGTTTTGGAATTTAAAAATGCCCTTTGGTCTATCTCAGCATAACATTATGTTTATTTGATTTTTTCGAAGCCCTGTGTAGAGCTGGTACATTTTCGCCCACTGGTCTAGAGCCCTGCATGTTATGTGAAAAAGGGTTTTATCAGGAGGAAGAAGGACAAAAAGTTTGTAAAAAATGTATGGAAGGGCAAACAACTTCATTTGAGGGCTCCAACAGCTCTTCAAAGTGTGGTGGTAAATATCTTTCAGCTCAGAAAACTCATAACTGTTATAAGATACTAAGTAGACAAAACAAATTTATGGAAAAAGTGAGTGTAAATCGATAATTTACCATGTTATGAATACTGCACTTATGTCCTAAACGGGAAAGACACAATATCATTATCCTTCAAGAGTGAAGGAGACCATTAGGCTTGTTTTCGATCTAGAGGAAATTTAACATTTTCTGTATTCAATTATGGTAAAAATTATCGAGTCAGCCAAAGATTATAGTAGTTGACAGCTGTATTGTATTCTATAGCTTTTCCTTTCCTCTGTTTGTATCTGCTCTCACACCATCGCTTTTCTATTGACGAACTTTGTGCTCTTAAAAATTGTACCTTTTTCGAATTTTTTTATCTTGTTTTGTGCTCGTTGTTTACTGACGCTGAAACGCATGCATACACAGTTATGACTTTGTTTAAAGTTACTAAAAGCCTTTGTTATTTTTGCAGTTGCTTGTCCAGCGGGGTCCTTCTCAAGTACTGGACTAGAGCCTTGTACTCTATGTAACAGACGTTCTTATCAGTCACACGAAGAAAGCCGCAGCTGTCTTTTCTGTCCTGGTACCACTGAAACACGGAAAAACGGATCAAGGAGTCGTCAGGACTGCGTAGGTGAGTTGAACATTTAGAGCCGTAGCTTTTTGGCTGACATTCATGATTAATTCGTAGTTACCATTGGGGAGTGTGGAGACCATTTTAGCATTATTTCTTCGTCGCTTTCAAAGGAAAATATCTGAATATAGAATCTATGCGTTCTTCAGTATGAAACGATAAGAAATCTCATTGACCTCACTCTTTAGACCTTGAATATTATTGCAGTGTGAGGAAGACCATTTACTTGAACCTTCATTAAAAATATACAGTTACCACAGTTGTGCTGTTTTACTAAAATGCGCTTTTCTCTTATGTGTGGGTGTTCTTTTTTTCCGCAGAAATAAACGAGTGTGATTCAAGTCCGTGCATAAACAACTCAACATGTAAAGGACTGGTGGCTGACTACCTATGTTTATGTCCACCTGGATTAGCCGGAAAGAATTGTGAAATAAACGTAGATGACTGTCAACATGAGCCATGCCTCAACAATGGAACCTGTCATGATCTTTTGAATGGCTTTAGGTGCTCCTGCCCACAAGGATTTGAGGGTGTCAACTGCGAAAACGACATCGATGAATGTAAGTCATCACCGTGCGTTCATGACTCAACATGTAACAATATCCCAGGCAGCTTTACCTGTATCTGCGAGACGGGTTTTACCGGCGTGATTTGTGACGTAGAGATTGATGAATGCAACGCATTGCCGTGTCTAAATGATGCAACGTGCATAAGGAAATCAAACGGATATGAATGTGTCTGCCCAAGGGGGTTTCAAGGCACTAACTGCGAAGACAAACTTGAGGCATGTGCATCTCTTCCGTGTCAGAATGGGGCCAAGTGTATCGATGGCACCAACAGCTATGAGTGCGCTTGCACGGAAGGGTTTAAAGGAAGTCAATGCGAGATAAATATCGATGACTGTGCGGATAATCCTTGCATTAATAATTCCACGTGCATCGATGATGTTAACGAGTTTTATTGTCGTTGCGAAAGCGGTTTTATCGGTAAAGCATGCGAATTCAAGACGGATGACTGTCTCCTGAAAGTTTGTGAGAATAACGGGACTTGCATTCCTACAGGTGATGGCTTCATGTGCAAATGTAGGCCGGGATTTGACGGATTGAACTGTGAAAATAACTTAGACGATTGCGCGTCCAACCCTTGTTCCAACAATGCCATCTGTCGCGATGAAGTCAATAACTTTACCTGCCGCTGCCCTCCAGGTTACACTGGAAAGGATTGCAACATAGATATAGATGAATGCGAAGCAACGCCTTGTTCCAACAATGGAACATGTTCTGATTATATTAACTCCTTTAGTTGCCAGTGTAGGGATGGTTTCGAGGGTTCTCTTTGCGAAATCGATGTAGATGACTGCAAAAGCTCACCTTGTCTGAACAAAGGTATATGCACTGACCGTGTGAATGACTACACCTGCGAGTGTCCCTTTGGATTCACTGGCATCAACTGCGAAATCGATCTTGATGAATGCAGTTCAAACCCATGTCTTCACGAAGGAACTTGTGTGGACCTTTTGGGACGATATGAGTGTGCCTGCATTGATGGTTATACGGGTGGGGATTGTGCTTATGATAAAGATGACTGTCTGAGTTCTCCATGTTTAAACAATGGAACATGCATTGACAAATTAAATAGTTACATTTGCGAATGTCCCGATGGCTTCGTGGGATTACACTGTGAAAAAGATGTTATCGACTGCTTTGAAGACGTATGTCTGAATGGGGGTATTTGTAGAGACGGAATAAATACTTATGACTGCGACTGTTCTCCTGGATATTTTGGACAACATTGCGAATTCGAAATGAACGAATGCGACTCCTGCCCTTGTCTATTTGGAGGATCTTGTCATGACAAAGTAAGTTTTAAAAGTTATATATGAAAATTAATGACTGCCATAGAATATGTTGTAAGCCCAAATTAATCTATAGCCTCAAGTGGATCGAAGCTTCCAAGTGCTCCCAACTTGAACAAAATAAATCTAAAAGCTATCGACGGTGGTTTTGTTTTCATTTGTGACTAATCAGGGAGAAACTGAAACTTACCTAAAATTTCTCATTAATCATTCAGTTCTCGAGTAATTCCAGTGACAATTTGCTTTAATGGCACATATCAGATCTGAGCCCGCATAAAAGCGGTTTTGTTTAAAGATGCACGGAATCGAGGCACTTGCGTCAAAGGTTTGGTAAATTCTCAAAGTTATCACTGTATATTCAAAACAACTCGCATTTCACGCTTTTTTTTTACTTTGATCGACAATCTGAAGCATTCAAAAGGCAAAGATAGCAATGGTTAGACWTTGTATTGCATTCGGATGCAACAACCGGAGCGGTAAACCACATTGCAAGCATCTTTCGTGGAATTCACTGCCACTGAACATAGTTAGTAGAGGTAGTCCCCTCTACTAACTATGCACTGAACAACAAGAAACTTCTGCCGACTTGACTGGTCTAGATCAAACGGGAAAACACGCCCGTGAGTAAAAATTCCTTTTAATGCAGTGAACATTTTGAAAAGGAATGCTTTTCTAAGTCATATGCTGGCCGGAAAGTCATCATCAATCGAACGTCTTTCCTTCGGGGCCTTCCTTTTGGTTTTCTGTTCGGAGAAACTGAATATTGTCGGAACTGAGTCTGACTTAAGACTTACTTTCCGGCCAGCAAATGACTTGGAAAAGCCTTACTTTTCAAAATGTTCACTGTTTAATAGGAATTTTTACTTACGGGTGTGTTTTCCCGTTTGATCTTGACTAGCCAAGTCGCCACAAGTTTCTTCTTGTTCAGTTGCAGCGAATGCCACGAAAGATGCTAGCAATGTGGTTTATCGCTCCGGTTGTTGCATCCGAATGCAATACAATGTGTAACCATTGCTATTTTTGCCTTTTGAATGCCTCAGATTGTCGATAAAAGTAAAAACATAGCGGAATATGCGAGTTGTTTTGAAATATACAGTGATACCTTTGAGAATTTACAAAGCCTTTGGCTCGAGTGACTCGATTTCATGCACCTTTAAACAAAACCGCTTTTACGTGGGCTCAGATCTAATATCTGTCATTATGGAGTATTATTAAGTAAAGAAGGAAAGGCCACTGCCAACGTGTTCATTTCAAAATATCTGGGAAGGAAAAAAAAATAGAGGCTGATAGTTTCGAAAGAAACTGTTTGGGGCTGCGTCGGTGGGGGCTGCATTCGCTCCGACGAAGGGCTAACGCTCGAAACGTCAGCTTTTGTAATCATTACGGTGGCCAATTTACCATTTCAACTTTGTTGATATATCCAAAGAAAAAAAAATAGCATTATTTGGCCCTTCCATAAGTTACAAATGCCTTCCATGAACTTAGACACGATTTGCTTTCCCAATATCTTGGAATTTTGCACCAGCTTCTCGTCCCTTTCTGAGGATTTTTATTTGTAATAAGAACAACCAACAAACAAATTAATTCACGAAAAAGTCGCGCTTTTTAATAGCTATACGGTTGTTTCCACCCATGAGTATTCAGGTGGACGCTAGGAACGCTTTTGAGGTATAGAAGTGTCTTCACTTTGTTAAGTATCACCCACAGTTCACTTCAGAGAATAGCGTATGAGTCGCAGCCAAAAAATGACGCTGCATACACAGTATTTTTAACTTGTCTAATATTCTAGGTAAATGGTTATGTTTGCACTTGTCTCAATGGCTTCACCGGCGTAAATTGTGAAGAAAATATCGACGACTGCAAGCTAAGTCCATGTTTTAACAACGGAACATGCCTAGACGAAGTTGTTGACTACTCGTGTTACTGTCCAGAGGGCTTCACCGGTGCAAATTGCGAAATTCTCATTGATTTCTGTGAAGAAGCAACCTGCACAAACGATGGGACCTGCATCAATTCACCCAAAGGTTTTGAATGCGAGTGCAGAAATGGCTATTACGGAGAAAGATGTGAACTAGTGGTTAATGAATGCTGGACTCAGCCTTGCTTTACTGATGCAACCTGTGTTAGCAGTGGAAGGAATTTTACCTGTATTTGCCCTAATGGATTTACTGGTAAGCTCTGCGAAATTGGTATAAATGAGTGTGCGAGTAGTCCTTGCAAGAATGCCGCAATTTGTGCCGATGACATCGATGGATTCACTTGCATTTGCAATGAGGGCTACGGTGGAACTTTGTGTGAAAATGACATTGATGAATGCAAGTTTAACCCTTGTGCAAACAATGGAACATGTCATAACCTGACACCGGGTTATAAGTGCAGCTGTCTTGACATATTTGGAGGGAAAAATTGCGACAAGGAATTAGATTTATGTGAATCAAGGCCTTGCCAAAATGGAGGAAATTGCACCATCGATCGTTCCAACAGTACATTCAAATGCGCTTGTCTACCTGGTTTTACCGGAAGGCAGTGTGAACAGAACATCGATGACTGCCGAGGAGTGTCATGTTTTAAAAATTCATACTGCATTGACTCGGTAAACAATTACACCTGCGAGTGTCTTCCATCTTATACAGGGGATTATTGCGACATCCGTAAGTGTCATTTATCTTACTAGAATGATGTATCATGAGCTGTTTCCTTTGTTCATTTATACCGTAGGACGTATTAAGCGCTAGTTTAAAAAATGATTGACTTGTGGTATGAGATTTATTTGATTGAATAAGCGGTCGATCGATGATCATTCAAATGATCGATCAATCACTAAAATTGATTGCAAGTTTACTTAAGGTTTTTGCTCTGCTACCCTTTGCATCCCTACTGCTATTTTTCCACTTCTCTTGAAAAAAAAAAATAAAAAAAGGAAATCGTGAATAGTGAGTTTTTTACAGAAAAATCATTTCGATTAGCTGATCAATCGATCGATTATCATTCTTTGCAATTGTTTATTAACTCAATTTTTATTTTTATTTTTTTACCAGTTCTTGGCAGTAACTTTGATCTGATTTTTAAAAGGAAAACTGCAGACGACATGGTTCTTCTTCCGGATAACAACAGAATCCCCAACATGGCTCGCTTTACCGTTGCCATGTTCCTAAAGGCGGATTCCAAGGTCAAGTCAGGAACTCTGTTTGGATATAGCGTGGAAGAAGACTCCAAAGAAAATATAGTGCTGTATTATTCTGCCACTCAATTGCGCATGAAATTGAAAGACAAAATCATTAGCGCAAACTGCACCCTTGCAGATGATCAATGGCATTTCGTTGGAGGCGTGTGGGATGGAGAAACTGGAGTCGTTTCGCTGTATTTGGATGGGCGGGAGTTAAAAAAACAAGACAATGTTCTTAAAGGGATGCTTATGCTAGGTGGTGGATGGATTTCCCTGGGAAAGTTTTATATTGCTTCCCAAAAAAGAGCTGATACATCTTCGTTCTTTTCTGGAACTCTCCACCAAGTGAACCTGTGGAGCACTGCTGCTACAGCTGATCATATTTGGCTAGCTGCTCAGAACTGCTCTTGGCCCATTCCTGGAAGTATAAGAGGTTGGACTGATTTTCTTTTTGGAATCAGAGGAGAAGTGGCAAAGAAATTTAAGTCAGATTGCAAAGGTATAAGTAATATTTTTTAATAATGGTTCATTATGTATCACATACCTAACGGGTTTTGAGTAATACTAACAGCTAAAACAACAACAACAACAACAACAGCAATAAGATGGAAAAAAAACAACTAGATAGCTAATTAATAGTCGAGCTCAACTCGGCAAACTCAATGAGTTGTGTCCTTGACAGGCTGCGACTAAAAATGAGCCGCTTTACAGCAGATGGTTAAATTTCAGACTATGTGTATACATGATAATCTATAGCATCCTTTAAATCCATTTTAGCTGTCAATTGGAAATTCTGAGAATTTGGCGAATTACAGTGCTAGCGTGCATTTTACATTTGACGATTCACGATTAATATTTGGACCATTTGACGGTTGAGGGCTGGCCTCGCTGGTCTCTTTTATGTTCAAAAGCTTTAGTTGTCTTTTTCACAGCCATAAAGACAACAACCAGGGGATCCGCGTATCACTTTGCAAGATGTGAATCCCGGGAAGTCCGTTATTACTGCATTTGCGAAGCAGGATTTACTGGTGATCACTGCAAAATCAACATTAATGACTGTGCGACAAATCCTTGCGTACATGGGAATTGTGTTGATGGTATTAACCAATATGATTGCGTCTGTCAACACGGATACTGGGGAAAACATTGCGAACGGAAGCTAAGCATCGAGAAAGGTGAGGAGTTGTTCCGATAGTGGGAGGATAGGACATTCCAGATATTGTTTTCTGATTGGAGAAGCTCTTTGTTTGAAAATACCTTACAAAAGAATAATTATTCTTTTTAGGTTGGTACTCTTTCAGATAGAATAAAGGTCCATTACTCAACTATGCTTCGTTGGGATGGTTGCCTCGTAAATCACCTACAAATTCCAAACATCCTGGCTCTCCACTTTGCTGTGGTCTTGACTCCTCTCAGATGAGGTGTGACTTACACGCTTTTTCATTTCAGCGTGTCCAAGAATTGGAAAACCATTTAAAGGCAGTAAACAATGCAAAAAGGCCGGTGGCGAGGCTCTGTGTACGTTGAAGTGCGACGAGGGAAATTCCTTCGAATTTAAAGCAACAACTAGATTGACCTGTGGTCCTGACACGAGGTGGAAATGGAACGGGATAAGCAAACTAAGATTACCTATCTGTTCTAGTAAGCTACAGATATTTTTGGTTTGTTTTATTTTGTTACTGCTGTCGTTTGTGCCCCTGTTTTGTTATGTTACGAGTTCACTTTCTCCCTCCAGTTTTCGTCAAGTATTATATGCAATATTATATGCAAGCAGAACAGCCAAGCCAAAGATTTTTTAAAATATGCTTATTTTCATTGTGTGTTTTCTCGTTTTCTCGTTTTCTCTAAATTTTCTTTTTCTTTTTCTTTTTCTCGGTGTATAAAGACAATTATGTGAAATGGCCTCTCCGGTTCCGGCCGGCAAAAAGTTGGGGAACACGTTCACGTACAGTCTATGCCCACATTGGATCGTTATGTATAATTTGTAGATGGCGTGAGTTGAGGAATAATGAGATTAACAGTAAAAAACTACGAAAAAAAAAAAAACAAAAACAAAAAAACAGTAGACTTAGTAAGTAGTCATGTCAGTAATGAGTCAATAAACTAAGGAAAGGTATAAATACAGCAAAAATAACTCGCATCATGTAAACCTCCCATCTCTTCATATTATTTCAATCTCTTTCTTTACAGCAATTGTTTCTCCAGGAAAAATATCACATGAATTCTCCCTTCTTTTCTATGGCATCGTTTGCCATAGAAGCCCACATCCACAAGGAGTAATTACAGCAATTGAACTTGGAGTAAGAAAATCACTTATGAGTATCCCAGGATGCTCCTTTTCCGATGAATGCAAAGCCTATGCCGTCACTTCATCGGCATGTGGCGATGTTACCAATGCATTGAAAGTTCAGTTTTCGGTGTCAATCCAAAAAAGTCGGTCAACACTGGTTGCAACCATTGAGGAAACAAGCGAAGCCGCCAAGTTTCAGTTGGAGTACGACGTATCAACGGGGAATTTTGCGATTAACATCAATGGTATCAGCGTTACTGCAGACAAGTCGTCGTTAAAACATCTGTATACCTCATTTACGTGTTTACCGGGATCTGTAGTGGGCAAGGGCGCCGAGGGTTGTGGTAAGTCATAGAATAATCTCTTGCAACTCAAGTGTCTAACATCACAATATCATCCGTCGGTATTTAGCAAAAATCACCAAAAGACATTGGAAAATGTTTGTACCATCCCGAAACTGAATTTCAAAAGGATTCTTCTCCAAATCTATTATATTCCGACACCTTGTTAGCTCCGAGCTCCGCTGTTTAGAATAAAAAAATATCGAACGGGTATTTTATAGATCGTGGAAAAATGATAATAGTTATGATGAAAAGACACACATTCAAAGAATCACTCAACGAAAAGAAAACCAATTTAGAAATCAAACAAAAAGACCATGTTCGTGTGGTTGACCTTCAAGACTGCAGCTTTTGGAAGAAAACTGTTAGGCTTGCCTCCATTTAATACCTTTGTGCTTCCTTTTGACAGTGAAATGTCCCATTCAAACGTTCCATAACCAGAAAACTCACGTGTGTGAACCCTGTGGCTTAAACTCCTATCAAGACAAAGAAGGACAAACCAGCTGCTTGTTTTATCCTGGTTTTGGAAATAAGTAATTTGCTCCTTGATCAATGCAACGAGTTAAATAACATGTCAGTGTTCCTAGCTGGCACGCATGTTTAACTGGTTTTCATGTTATAGCTTGAACCATTGAATTAGTAGTGATTCGTCTTAAGTGCTTCAATTTAGATTTTATACTTGTCATCAGTCAATATCTGTGGTATTCACTTGATCAGCTGGGAAAGCTCGAGTAAACTGTATTTTCATAAGCAAAAGTATAGTGTCCTATCTAATTGCGGATAACATTCAAGTTCCCATGTAGCCATTTTAGTGTTGTAGTATAATGGATTGCTTTGTTTTGCAGTATGTTTGGTCCAAGTGACACAAGAATCATCCTTAGTCGCCTCTAGTGGTCTGCATTCGAACATCATTCATTTCATGTTAATGCTATGGTTACCCTTAAAAATGCAATAGTTGTCACCGCCCTACCCCAGTCCCATGATTTCGCTATGCTCATAACAGATGTTTGATTATTTTTGCGGTTGCACGAAAGACTTAAATAAACTAACTACTTTCAAATTTCAATTCGACTTTGTCTGTTTGTTTTCTCTTTTCCTCTCGCTTAAAGAGCTCTTATATAGAGAGAATCAAAAAGATATTTGATTCTAGGAGGCTCCCATGCCATGTGACATTAGTTCACTTAGTTTCGAAAACATTCGTTGAATACGAAACGAAAACTAAAAAAAGAAATGATGCAGACGACGAGGTGGAAAACTGACACAAAAAAGAATTTTTATGATCACTCACAAGGTTTCAGACTTTGTCTTTTTTCTAACACTAACTATTCGATGGGTAGATGCGTCGAAACTTTTTTGCCTTTCGCTTAACCTTGAAACTTGCCCATTCGAAAAGAAATCGTTAATTCTCAGCCGAAAGTCGAAGAAAGGGAGATATAAGTTTGTCCCACGTGAAGCCCTACTGGCGCCTCACTCCAGTTGGCTTAATTGACCGGTTATGTCCGTAAAAGAAACTTTGGGTACCTAAAGGGACTACCAGCCGTGCTCATAAGGATGTCAATATCAGCATTGACTCCACTTGCAAATCGAAAAGGCACCCATTACAGTAAGGTTAGTCACTGGTTAGTATGAAACTTTTGAGCTGCTCGTAAGAGGGTCACTGGTTTACTCCGGCTATCAGCTTTTTAAGATATGGAAGGGTAGCTTACGCTTGGTTCAAGCCTGTGTGTTCACAACTCTTTCGAGAAAGGTTGTGGGAAAAAGCGAATAAGTGGATAGTTCTCGGGATATGGTTCCCTGACCTCAGGATTTCTGGGAAATCTGAGAAAACATCACTGTAATGACGAGGCGGACTTGACGAATTTATCTATTTATTTTTCACATTTAATCCACTGTTTACCAGATACCAATATTACATTTCGAGGTTGTTGCGAGCACTTTTGTCCTTTTTTCAGACAACCTCTCTCAAAACAGCTGTATAAGAAAGGAGTAAAAAAAGCGCCAGTGCTGTAGTCGATGTTGTCGACAAATAAAATCTATTTTGCTTTCTGACATACACTGTATTACAATTTCAAACGCGCTTGACACTCTGCTCTATCAATAATCGCAAAATGTTGGTTCTAGACAAACGAAAAGGAATTTCATTCGGTCTTATTCGTTTCTACACAAGATCGTTGCTTTTATGTGGAGTGTAGGTCACATTGGACTATAGAAAATAATTACTTGCAGTTGGCCCCATTTGAGTTATGACCAGCGATTTTTGTACTCTATTTTATAGTTCATAAAAGTATTATTCTCATTTTAACAGTAAGTTGTTAAACTTTAATGAACCTTCAAAAGTTTACCGTCGAGTCAGTTTTTATTTCGCCTTACTGTCGTTATTATGTTTTCTTTTTCATCTTTCGTAAATATTTTGAGTAGATTATAATGGAAGTAATATTGACACTGAGAAACATAGTATGTTCTCATTTCGTTGGCATTAACTATGTATGAAAAGAGTAACCAAACCCAAACAAATTAAAGTAATTGTAACTCTTTGTTTGAAAAAATTCATCCAAATTTCATAGCGGTATCCTGATCTATATTTCATTACCTGGATATTTCTGAAGCGATGTTTTGAACAAATCTAGCCAAGAATATCTTTTGATCTAAAGTGAACGTATGAATTTTTAATACAGAAGTGCAATGGGTTGAGTGAATTCAGATCATATTCTGTTTTCGAGGGTTGAAACTTATCGTCTCTAATTCATCAGGATTTAAAGGGAAATGATCGTTAATCCACAGGAGAAATGTGTCCTCCTATCAATACTGATGATCTATCATGGCACGCTTTGCGGTAAGTAACACATTAATGGTTGCTTCTGTTTCGCATGGATCAGTGAAAAATCAAAGTTACTGTTAGTAGTAAAGTCACGCAGCAGAACCTTGTAAACACGGATTAGGCAGTTAGCTTGAACTCCTCTGTAAAATGAGCTGAGCTCCTTCTGAAAAATTCTCAGTTATTTATCACCGGCTCACTCGAGCACTTCTCCATGAGAAACTGTTTTCGCCTCCCTTCCACTTGAATTGAGGCTATTGTTGCTTTTATTTTTCATTTTCCTTTTCTTTTTGTATCGACGTGTAATCCATTCCCCTTTATCGAAGCTTCCCGAAAAGCCAGCTTTTACTCTGATGATCACTGGAAAAGATGATGGTTTCGAATAGTTGCAACCGATCAATTCAGACAAAATATAACACCAAGCTTCCCCAAGTCACAATATAATTTATAGTTAGAAGTCTCAGCTTCAAATGTTTTCTCTCTGGAGTCTCATTTGCTGATGATCCAAACTCTGCCTTTTATATCAAATAGCCCAGTTCCGAATTGCCTTTAGCGTTTTTTTCAAAGCGAGTTCTGGGGCTCATGCTTTCGTATGGTAATAATTTTTCATTGACATGCAAATTAAACTCATTTTCATACGTATGGTTGAACACCAGGCCTCGTTTTGAAAAAGAGGCCGAACGTAATTCGGAAATGGCCTATTCCTTTCGAAGCCGATAGGATTTGCGTGGGAAGGGGGTGTAGTTAAGGAGCAATTTAGTTTTGCACCAATACCTTGCCGTCCAGCGTTTTCATGTTGTAGTATTACTTTGTGTTCGTAAATACTTTTATGAAACGGACACGTACTACTTTTCTTTGCGTTCATCCATTCGCATAACAACAAAAAATTAGAAAAGATTGTTAATTATTTATACTATCACTTGACCATCAGTTTGTTAGGTACATTGAATAATAGTTTATGCATGTGAACTACGTAACCATATGAGCCTATGGTGTCAGCTAACTTGACTGGTGATAATAAAATCCAGAGCTTGATAGTCAATTTCTTTTAATTTACCCTAAGCAATGATGGACTACACATCACTTCTCTGTTGGATTCCTTCAAAATCTTTCGACCAATAGACATACATTATGCGATGACCCTGTGTTACGAGGATCTTATTGGACTCCACCTACTTAAGTCAGAATTCACAATTACTGTATACACATCTGTTAATGAATAAAAAGCATTTTAATTTTGCTTTCAGAGGAAATATGCAAAAGTGATCGTCCCCAGCAAGTAATATTTACCCAAAGAGTGCAAGACTACATTTTATCAGGTCCCATAGTCAAGACAGAGCTGGTCGCCAGTGACCAAGAATGCCAGATGCAGTGCATTTTGAGTTTCAAGTGTGACGTTTTTGACTTGGGGCCTCTGGATGAATCGTTTCGTCGATCCTGTAAGATCTTGAGATATGAAATCAAAAATTACACTCTTCAGCGCCAAAAGGGGTGGAGCTTCCGAGCGAGAAAGGTGACATTTTTTAGCGTTGGCTTAACTTTTAAAAATTATAAGAGCCGAGAAACCCTCCAGATTATGCGCAGGACGACGGATTTGGAGGTCTGGGTTTGAGCTGTAACGTTGATAATGTCTTTCGGTTGTGGGGTGGAACGCACAACTTTACTCTTAAACAGCCTTTCTCCGCACGACGATATATATAGATGTCAGAAAACTGTAGTGTAAACCTGACGATACTTAAACGTTGCTTCATGCGCCAAAAAGCGGTGTTGGCACAGGCTAAGTTTAGGGAAAGCCTCAGTTCAAATACTATATTGAGTACACACCACAGGAAGGAACTTTTAAACATTCTAGGAGAGAAAACTAATTCAAGTGCCACCCAAATGAATGTATGTTTTTCAAAAATATGTCGTTACTTCTGAAGAAAAGTACCGAGAGGGAAATATATATAGAGCATTGGTGGAGATCCCTTTTCAATCCAACTCCATTCGAAGAGTTACTTGAAAATGTCGATGAAAACTCCGAAAGTTGCCATTGTCGCCTCTACAAACAAATTTTGATTATCCACAGATATAAATTTTTAACTACAATGTTTTTTCTTTGCTGTATCGTATTTAATGCTTTATAAATAAATTTTCCTTCTCTGTATATCATCATCTATTTTTTTTTTTTCACAGTGCGCCTATTCTCCTTGTTTGAATGGTGGTACTTGTTTCTCTATTGATCAAGCCAACGCTCCACGATGTGCTTGCATTGGCAACTGGACAAGTCCCACGTGCTCTGATGCAGTTGGTGAGTAGATCATTTGACCAATATCAAAACTGACGTGCAATTCTAAGTTCTTGAATATAGAATACTATACCAATTACAAGGCCGCGCGGAGCTTTATTCTCGAGTTTTGAAAAATTCGTATTTTATATGTGGATATGAAGTACTTTACATCAAAGACGAAGTTCAATTAAAACTCCGTAATGTCTGGAAAATGAGTACATTCCTTTACGAATTTGAATAGTACAACCCAAATTTGAAAAATTATTTGAGACGATGGTTTTTCAACCGGAATATTGAAGCAACAGATGCGGTACAGCCATATTGATG